ACTCATACTACAACATCAGATCAACAACAGCTCCAACTCCAAATCCAACCCCAACCCCAACCCCAAATCCAACTCCAAATCCAACTCCAACTCCAACTCCAACCCAACCCCAACCCCAACCCTCACCACCCAGATGATTGTCCAAAATTAGTAAGTCATTTTGAAGATGAAATTGCAAAAACAGTTTCAGTCGAGAATAATTTTTTAACACATCAAAATAGACTTAATATACAAGCATATCAACACATAGAAAATTAAAAAAATTCATTTCAATTTAGGGAATCTTGTCAAGAAGGTCTCCATTAATCAACTAATTTAAATAGTTTTAATTATTTGATTTAAATAATAAAAATTATAAAAATATTTAAAATTTAAAAAAATAAAATTATATAATTTGAAAATAAATGATTTTATCATAACATAAATAAATACATAGTTTTATAACTTTTTAAATTATTATTTACTTAAATACTTAGTATATTCATATCTACATTACAAACCTAAAACTATTTTTTAATTTTTTTATTTTTTAAATTTTATTTTTATTTTATTTTATTTTTAATTTTTATAAAATATTTAAAATAAAGGAAAATATAAATATATTATTTGGTTGAAGATATAATTATAACTGAACTATTTTTTAATTCTAAAATGTTTTATGAAAACATTACAGCCACTTTGAATAAAGACCCAAATAGACTTCCTCCTATTACACTAACCATCTGTATTTTTATATTTGAGATAATTGATCATTTGATCATTTTGATTTAATTTTATTTCTACTACTCTAAGTACGTGTAAATTCATGTACCAAACTTTTTCAATTATTCTGAAAGCAGTGCTGTATCTAATCCCTATTTGAATAACATATTTTCCTTGATTCTTATTTCGTTTGTAATTTTTATGCTTGAAATAGAAACCTTTTTATATTACAATCTATTCTATTTCTTGCTACTATAGAGATAACATTTGAACCTAAGTACCATACTTTAATCTTTATCTCTTAACACACCATTTGAAAAATAAGTTACAGCTTCAACTGCCTAAATAGCTACCATCATTAACCTTATTGGCATCTATCCTCATCATTACATTTGATTTGTTACAAAGATTTTTATGCGCTTGTAATATAACCTAATTTATTAATTGGTGGGTATTTTGTTGATATTTTTACATTGTTATTTCTATTTTGTTGTGTAGAGGTATTATTTCTGATCACCTATTCTATTAACAACGTGCTTCTTTGTGTTTTTATACTTGTGTAGAATAACCTGGTTTTATTTATTTATGTGTTAATAGTTGTATATTGATTTAGATGATCCATACTAAATTACTAAAAAATATAAAAAATTTAAAAAAAAAAAAAAAAAAAAAAAATTAGAAAATAATAAAATTTTTGAATTATAATAAAGAATCTATAATTTCCTTTAGTATATAAAAGATTATAACCAAATTGGGTATTCCTTTTTTGGAAATTTTAATCTATCATAAAAGGAAACACATATCCCTAATAAAATTTTAAACCTTTAAAAAAAAAAAAAAATTTCTAGATAAAAAATATTAATCTATTTAATCTATTTATTTTATTTGTTTATTTATTGGTTGATCGAAAATTGTTTTTTTTTTTTGTTTGAATTAGAAATAAAATGAAAACTTTCCTTTTACGGAGTTTACCAGTTAGTC